TCATTTAAATTAAATAATAAAAATGAATGTTTTAATGTTGAAACTTTCTATAATGATGATACACAATTATGACATAAAAGATTAGGACACATTTGTCACTAAAAACTAAGAAAACTTGTAAACAGTAAAATGGTTTAGAGCCTGGAGAATGTTAAATTAAGCAAAGTTGAATTTTGTGAAGCATGTGTTAGGGGTAAAATGGAAAGATTAAAATTTAATACAAGGTCTGATGCTAACAGATTATTAGAAATACTTCATACAGATGTGGTAAGACAAATTACTCCACTAAGTCATGATGGAGGAAAATATTTTGTAACTTTTATTAACAGTTTTTAAAGTTTTTGTGTTGTTTATATTATTAAAGGTAAATATATTTCAGTATTAAAGGTAAATATATTTCAAATGAAATTAGACATTTATGTAGAGAGAATGGATAGATTATACAGTACCATATACTCCAGAACATAATGGAAAAGCAGAACTATTCAATAGGAGTTTAATTGACAAAGCAAGAGTAATGATAGAAGAAGCTAAAATTTCAAAAACATTCTGGAATGAAGCAATAAGGGTTGCAGCATATATTTTAAACCAAACTCTCAACAATCATTTAAATAATGTGACACCTGCTCAATTATGAAATGAAAGGAACCTGATATTAAAAATATGAAAATATTTGGATACACTGCATATGTACATGTATCTAAACAATTCACAGAAAAGTTTGATGCTAAATCAGAAAAAATGATTATGAGAGGGTATACAAATACAGGGTACAGATTCTGGAATGTAATGAACAAAAAGTAGTAACTGTTGGATATGTACTTTTTAATTAAAACAATTTTTGTCAAACAAGGCACATATACAAATTAATGATGAAGTTGAAGAAGACTGTAGATGTATAAATAGTGATGATGAAATAGAAGAATATGAGAGTAAAAGTAAACAAAGCAGAGAAAATGTAATTTTAACTAAAGATCACAAAAGAAAAGTAAAAATATCAAGAAATACAGTGACAATGAGTTATATATGGCTTTTGAGGCCATGTCTTTTACAGAAAGGGTTCCAGAGACAGTAGGAGAGTCATAAGGTAGACAAGATAAGATGAGAGGGAAATAGAATCAATTGAGAAAAATAATACATGGACAGAAGTGGAGAAAATACCAGAAAAGAGAGATTTTGAATACAAAGTAGGTATTTGCAAGTAAACCATTGGAAGACAAGGAAGAAGATAGGTATAAGGCAAGACTAGTTGTCAGAGGTTTTGGACAAAGGAAGAGTTTTGATTATGAATATTTGTACTCACCAGTGACAAAAATTATTTTAATTAGAACACTTCTGACAAGTGGAAATCAATATAAATACTACTTTAAACAGTTAGATGTAAAAACAGCCTTCAAAATTTAAACCAAATAAAGTATTGAAATTAAATAAATCACTTTATGGGCTAAAGCAAGCATCAGAGTGTTGGAATATTAGAATAAATGAATATTTACTTAAAATGGGTTACAAAAGATGAGAGGCTTATTACTGTTTGTACACAAAAGTTTTTGAAGATGGGCAGATTATGTATTTGTTAATATATGTAGATGATTTTGTAATAACAGTGAGACTCACACGCAATATCCTAAAAAAATTAACAATTGGGCTGGTATCATTAACAATAAAATTATTGGTCCTTACTTTTTTAAGGGCACAGTTGAGGGTGAGGTTTATCTTGATTTTTTGATTAACTTTTTAGTGCCTACATTACGAAGATTTTTTCCTAATGTTAATCATCCAAATGAGATAGATCGAACTATTTGCTACCAACAAGATGGAGCTCCACCGCATTTTGCACTTATTAGTGCGACTAATTTTCAACGGGGTGCTTATAATTCAAAGGGGGTGCTGTAAGGGTAAAATATTTTCATACTGTAAACAATTTAAGAATAAAAATCGACCTGTTTCAGGTTTTCTTCATATAGCACTTAATAACGCTAAAACTGAAATTATTCCATACATATGGACCGCATGGTATAAATTTGTCAAAGAAATATACAAGTAAAACTTTTTGATTGTGATGTAGATTTTGATGGGCTGTAGATGTAACAGATAGAAAATAGATTATAGGTTACTTAATGAATCTTTTTGGAAATATGATGTTCAGAAGAATTAGTAGCTTTATGTGCAGCAGTGCAAAAGTGTTTATGGATTAAAAAATTGTTTATTGATATGAAAATAAAATTTCTCTGTGTACAAAGACAATCAAGGCTGTACATCTCTCATTAAAAACTCAGAAAATAACATTAATATTCAATAAACACATAGATCTTAAATGTAATTTTGTTTGTGATACTTTAAATTTAAACATCATGCAACTTTGTTCTGTAAATACAAAATTACAGTTGGCAGATATGTGAACAAAACAGCTTCATAAAGTACAGTTTTGCAATAATAGAGATAATTTAGGATTGTATTAGTTTAGAGAGGTGATATTAAATAAGTAGTGATTTAGATTGAAATAATTTTAAGTTTGTTGTATTGTTGAATAGTTTGCTTCTTATTTTGTACTGTATATTTATGTGCTTGTTCACCTTTAAATAAATAATAAGATTTTTTTTGCACAGAATTAAGAAAAGTATTAAGAGGGTGTAAAGTGTAATACTTCCCTTAATCCTTTTTGTGACCTTCTGGTCACAATACAGGTTAAGATGAATAGGTTATGGTGATAAAACACATGGCAGTAATATGCAATGTCTAAATAGTATGCATTGATATTGAGTATAAATAAAGCTAAGGAATAAACAGTTTGAGACTTTTAATCTACAATCTGACACAATTTGGTCCTAGTTTTCCTTTTCTGAGCTACCAACTTTTTTATTTCAGCTGGGATGTATTGGGCTTTGTTACCTGCATTCTTTGCATGTGTGGCATTTTGTAGGCCACTATGAGAGTGTTGTTTAAAACTGTTTCATCTATCTCCCTTATTGTTTTCAGGCTTACTTATAGAATGATGTCTTCTTTTAATTGGTCACAATATTTGTCCCAGTTGGTTCTAACAGTGTGCAGCCTTGGTGCATGAAAAGTCATAGCTCAGCATGACTTCCATTAAGCAGGAGAGAGGCTCTGAGTGATAAATAGATCCAGCAGATCAGATATTTTATTTGGATCCGTTGGTCAGTATGTTGGAGAGCCTGTTGACAAAGGGTGGTAGTTGTTTTCATGTATTAAACTTACTAGTTCTCTGCCTTTAGTTGTTGTGAGACTAGATCTAACTAATAGATGTTTGCTGTTGAGGTATATATTCTGTCTGGTTTAGTACATTTTGGGTTTCAAATTTTTTCTATAGAAATATGGAAGACATCTTAGAACAAGCAATATTAGTTGAAGCAAATGAAGAAGTTATAGAAGATTTAATACTAAATCATATTTTAAATGATAACATACAAACATCCTGTGGGGCGCCACAGTGTAAAATGGACACATTGTGTTGTCATCTTTGGTGTAATTAATAACAAGTGGAAAATTCAACTGCAACTTGGTGCAAATTCCCATAGTTATTAATTTGTCTAACATTGCGCAATATTGCAATGTTAGTCCGATACGCTCTAATTTGGGCATTGTCTTAAAAAAGACAATGCTTGTAGGTTTATTTACTCGTAGAAATAAAACACAGGTTTCTGGGTGAGAAAATGGGGGGACGAGCACACCTCTTTAATTTTTATTGCAACACTCGTTGGCTGTCCAAAGGCAAAGTACTCGCACTTGTATACCAATTAAGAATAGAAATCCTTAATCCCTCTTTAAAAAATATGTTTACACAATACATTTATCATTGAGCGAACACTTTGAAAAATATTTTCCCAACGATATGGAGCAATATGACTGGGTCAGAAAACCTCTCCTGTCAACTACGCTATCGACACTTTCAACAGAGGAAGAACAACTGACAGAATTGTCCTGTGATTCCAGCCTAAAGCTTCAATATATCAAGGACAAAGGTTTAAAGGTTTTATTACCATTTGCAACTTTGTGCTTGTGTGAAACAGACTGTTTCTGCAGTTGCAGTAATTAAAAACAAGGACAGGTCAAATATAAACTTATAAAAAGAAATGGGAGTGACAATTTTCAAACTGGAGCCCTGGTTTCATAATCTGTGCTCAAAAAAGCAAGCACATCACTCACATTAACCAGCCAGTTACATATATAAATATCCCTTTTCATTTTTGTGTCTATGTTTTGATTTCATTCTTAATTTCTAATAAAAAATATAAATGTTCAAATGGTGTTTTTGTTATGACTATAACGTGTTACTAGGCTATTATTAAAATTGGTAAATATTATTGGGGGTTGGGTTGACAGGGCATCGCAAAAAAATAGCACAGTCCCAAGGGTGTCACAGTACGAATAAGTTTGGGAAGCCCTGTTATATACACATAAAAAAGCATAGCATCTATCCTGTCATCAGGATAGATGCCTTGATGACAATCATTTTGTCACCTCTATTCTACAATCATTGACCCATTAAAAACCTGAAGATCTATAAGAGTTAAAAACCATTTCTTAAATTCCAAAACCTATACAGACTGTACTATAGCCAGTACATAATCATTGAACATATATTATTTTGAGATTTTGTCCACCTAGTAAATAAACTATTTATTGTCCAGAAGAGACTACTATGATGCCTACTAATATTGCATTAGCACTGTTCTTGCATACTACATTTTAAACACCTAATTTACCACCAATTACATAACAATAAAAGTATTATTCTTCAGAAACTGTGACTAATTCCATGAATATTTAAAAGATATCAAAAAGAAATTAGCATATCTCAGTCTACAAACACATACATTATTATGTAATTACAGCTTCGAACTTTTGTTATAAAGAAATTTCATTTTTATTCATCCATCTGTGGAGTATGTAACATAAAAAAATTATAATAGGAAAATAATTATTTTAGGTAATCTAACAAAAAGATTAATTTTTAGCAACAATTTGTATGAAAAAATTACCTGAGTATGAAATCTCGCATTTCATCCAGGAAAAGAGATGACAAACATTCATAATTAGTGCTAGGGCTTGCACTAGCGAAGTTTCTATAAACATAGTTCAGACAGTGATGTAGGTCAATCCAATTTTTGGAATTATTGGGGGCCCAACCTATGACTTTATTAAAATATTCCAATAGCATCTCTGATCTTTTAACTGAATCGTTCACCCTCTTACTAGTCGCTCTCATTCTTACACCATCCCAAATATGATCCGTATCCTGGAAATAATATTAAAAGATGGGAAATATTGTCTTCATGGAAGCAATGTATAGCAAATCACAATCACCTTTTTATTGACATTTCTTTTATATAAACAGAAAAAAGTAAAAACTGAAATATATTTCATACAATGAAAGGATTACTATTTCACTTTTCTTGCTATAAAAAGATATAAACACAACACAGATATAAATGTTTCAAGTTGACATTATATATGTATATATATATATATATATATATATATATATAATATATATATATATATATATATATATATATATTCGAAATTTATATAATAATAACTTGTAATTACATCCACACTAATTTTTAAATTATTAGTCTATATTATTGTACTAACTTGATCAAATTTTTAAATAAACATTTAAATATAAGTTTATAAAGATAAACATTTTTCTTCAAACTGAACATATCAACCATATGCAATGACACACCATATGGAAGACAAGAAGAAACAACTATCTTACCTTAACTACTTTATAAATAAATTTCATTGAAAACACAACAAAGTAAATCACAATTAAAAGAAGGAAATGTATTGGACATACACTAAGAAAAGACCAAAATAATATAACCGGACTTGTAGAGAACTCTCGAAGGAGTAAAACACAGCCAATTAGCCATCTTTCACTATTGTCTAAGAAACGCAAGAGCACCTCATAAAGAGGGAAAGCAGTGGAGAGAAAGATATTATCGTTTATATGTCAACTGTGAGGTGAATAGATATGTGATGAAGCAATAACATACAGTTATATAATTATCTCACAGTTGATTAATTTACAATAAAATGGTTTCATTGCTGAGTAGTAAATATTTAACTTTAATATCAAAGAGGTTATTCTTCCTATATTTACAGTTTTAATCAACAAAATATAAGCGTTCCTATAAGATAAATAAGAGTTCCTATTAGATTTGCTCCTGCCTTCACTGTCTAGTATCCTGGTATACAAAAAAGGAGCTATACATGACATATTTTCAGACAAGAAATATAAAGCCTATAATATATTATAAAGTTTTATCATGATTTCTATTTATTTATTAATTTGTGATACCACTTGACTTCTATTCTTAATTAATAACAGCTATTATATGGGCCTTATTTTTTAGTTTTCAATTTTTGGGCAGTTTATAATTCTCTACAGGGTGATTATTTTCCTTTGTCCTCTCTGTATTTAAAAGACCACTTTATTGCATTAGTGTACATTTCTATTTGTAATCTAATTAGAAGTATTTGGTCGTGTAGTATTTAATTGAGTTGGTTTTATTGTAAATTAGCTATAGGCTTATAAACAGTACCATTACCAGAATTAGTTGCTTACCTTACATACTTCGTCTAATTTCAAGCACGTACCAGCAGTATCACGACTATCATGGAGATCCTTAAGAAATTGATGGGAATATACACCGAGACCAATTGGAATTTCTCTTACAATTTGCTCAGACAACTCTTTTTTTGATTTCAAATCATATTCGTAGGCAGCTCGCCGACATACTTGTGTAGTTAAAACAACGTAAAACTCTAACTTATTCATTTTTTTGATGGCAACTATATCCAGATAATAAAAACAACAAACCACTAAGTTTGATTTAAAACTGCTGAATTAACATTTTACTTAGCGCTTATTTCTTCGTTTTTTGGTTTCTTCTCCTTGAGGGTGTGGTGGCCTTAATGCTGTCTGGCTCTAAGCCACATCAAGGTCACTGTATTTCCTGGGAATAAATAAGTTTTATTTTATACTGGCCACACAGCTTGTGTTTCCTGATTCGGACACCTGAAGTTATGCGTTCCATAAAAAATACATTGCATAGCGCACACGGTCGTCACGTTTCGGAACGTAAACGGTTCCTGGCGTTCGGTTCGGAATGGGAGCCGTGCGTTCGGGGATTCCCAGCAGATAAAACCGAATAACGTCATGCCCTGATGGAGAATTTCGTGACTTTTGAGTAATCGTTATAAATCGTTACTTTTGTATCAAGTAATCATATAAAGTATTCGTTACTTTGATTACTCTGATTACTTCGGTTAATCATATTTAATAGGAGCTATTGTCTATTCGCTTAGCTAGGGCATATTTTGACAGACTCACTGTCGGAAACCTACAACACAACAATTCCCACTTCTCAGTATTAATAGCTCAAGTATACTACTATTGCAGACTTCTTTCTTTGAAAAAAAAAGAAGAATTATTCTAAATAGTGGAAGTGTATACTAAACCCATCAAAATTTCCCTGTATATTTAAAATATAATATTTGAATTGTTACAATTTAAAATATTGTAGTAAATATTTGTATTATTCGCGTTGTTTATTTAATTTAATATATGTAGTTTTATTGTTTTATGATCTTTGTTTAATTCGTTTGTTAGTTCTATTCAGTTAATTAGTTAGTTATATTTTAAATTTTATTATTATGGATAGTCAAAGTTTTCCATTTGTTCCATCAGCTAATGCGTTGGTAGGTTTTTCTTAATAAATATGATAAAATGTTTTTTAAAAAGTTTTTTTAAAGTTAATATTTTTAGATTAGTAAGGATGCTATTCCTAGATTACAAGGTAATAAAACTGCACAAAGGTTTATTGTCTACATTTTTTAAATGCCTACCATTTTTTTTAAATTATTTGCCGAATGAAAACCCTGTTGAGGTAAGTTGATCATTAAAATGTATTTATCGAATTATGTAAATGTTGTAAATACATAAGGAACTTGCTGTGTCTTATTCTTATTTAACCTCATTTTGACTTCTTAATTTTGTAGAATTTATTCCCACTTTTTTATTTTGTACAATAAATAATTTTATTATTTGTTATCAATACATTATACGGTGTAAATAAATAAATATTGATTGTCAGCAAAGTTCTATTTTATTTACTTTTGTACTGCTTGGTTGTATAGTATTTTCCACCCACTTCGAGTCTGTCAAAAAGTAACTAACTTCGAAAAAAAAATGATTACTAAAATCACTAGACAGTTTGGACTGGGAATAGCGAACCGGGTATACTTTAAAACTTCATATATATGTGGCACATTTTTGAAATTGGATTATTTGGATAGAATAGAATTTTATTTTAATTTAAATAATAAATGTCAGCTCAATATAAAAAATTTAATAAAGAAATATGTCAACTCAAACAATAACATGTTATTTAAAACTACTATTACTGTTGATTGCAATGTAAAAACATAATAATTTCCACATTTTTATCTTTCAACCGATTCCTTCGTGGTGATATTAATATCCCGGCTTTAGAAAACAGTCGTTCTGATGGAACGATGTAGACATTATACATAAATGTTTCTTAGCCAATTCTGAGAGATATGGGTATAATGAAACTCTAGATTTTCACTAGTCGAGAGGATTCTCTTTTCTGAATATTAAGTTTTCGTTTAAATATGATTTTACTTCTAAAATAGCGTTGAATTTTGAATCCGCCTGTTTGGGTGTTTACACAAATTTGTCAAAATCTTCCCATATTAAATTTTTCTCTTGTTCGACCTGTGAATGGGATTCTTCAGTTCACAGATTCAGTTCACAGAATGAAGAAAAGAAACCACTTAAAAAAGGAACTTCAATATATAGAAAACCTCAACAGGGAGGAAGAATTCAGAACATTCTATAAGAAAGTTAACATCAACAGAAAAGAATTCAAGGCAAACACAAATCAATGTAGAAGTTTGAATGGCGATCTATTAACAACAAGAACAGACGTACTAAATCGATGGACGGAATATTTTAATCAGGTACTTAATATAGTGAAAGAAGAAGAAAACCCGGAAGACGAAAGCTGTGAGGTAAGCGGAGCAGACGAGAAGGAGGAGAATCCACCAACGATCCTGGAAGTTAAAGACGCTGTAAACAAACTAGCCAGAAACAAATCACCCGGAATAGATAATCTTCCAGCGGAATTATATAAAGAAGGTGGCTGTCGAGTTAATACTTAAGTAATATGTTTATTTTTAAAAATCCCCTTGTAATCAGCGTATCGTCTCTCCGGCGAAAGCAATTAATTTTAATGGCTTTCGTCTGAGAATGTGGGGTATCGAATTTCATATAGTATAAGAATATATTCAATTTGTTTAGAGTTAGTTTTTAGTCGAATTTATACCACCGACCGAAAGAAACTGAATAAAACTTTTAAAGCCACATTTGTGTATTTTAATACGAAAGTAATTTTTGTAATAGAAATTTAATTTTGTACTTTTTCGAACCGATAAAAAAGGAAACTAGAACTGATAAAGAAGGAAACTGTAACAGGCTTCTATATATATACGTCATTGGCCTGGACAAACGACAAAGGAATGAACGATCTCTTCGCATTTATGTTATCCTGATACTAAATCTCGTAATGTGGTTTGAAACGATGATAGAAATGAAGTGAGAATATCTGTAGGACGTTATGAGAGACGAGTTAGGCTTTAATTATATTGTTTTTACCGTACTGTTTAGTTTTTAATTAATGCTTAGATTAAAGGTTAAAGGTAAAAATAGTTAAAAATTTCATTTTTCTCTTGCCATTCTGTATTCTGTTCCTTTATTTGTTTATTACCCTTACTCCAATTTGTATAGGGAGGATATGTGACAATAATAAAATGTGGATAGGTAATAAAACATAGAAGGATTAAAAAAAAAAACAAAAATTGTGAATTTTTGTTTATTATAAACTATATATTTTATTATTATTAGAAACATCATTTGGATGTTTACAGTTTTCTGTTGACTATGACTGTTACAACATAAAAGCTTGTTTTTAAACAGGTTATTGAGTTAATATAAAGATTGAATTTATTAATTTGAAATAGAAAGCCCATTTTATAAATGTTAAATTTGCAAAGTTATTTTTTAAATACAAAATTTAGCTTGATTGTCTGCGTCATCTATACACTAAGTATCAGACTATTGGAATTAAGAAATACGGAAACTGTAACGAGGTCTATACAAATTGGGTCTTGTAAACGACGGAGAAACAAACGATCTCCTCGCGTGTGCTCCTAATCCAAATTAAAGCTTGCTCTCGTCATTTGGATGTTTACAGTTTTCTGTTGACTATGACTAAGTTACAACAAAAAAAGCTTGATTTAAACAGGTTATTGAACATATCTCTGGTTAATATAAAGATTGAATTTATTAATTTGAAATAGAAAGCCCATTTTATAAATGTTATTAAATTTGCAAAATTATTTTTTAAATACAAAATTTAGCTTGATTGTCTGCGCCATCTATACACGAAGTATCAGACTATTGGAATTAAGAAATACGGAAACTGTAACGAGGTCTATACAGATTGGGTCTTGTACACGACGAAGAAACAAACGAGCTCCTCGCGTTTCTGTTATCCGGATGCGAGATTACGGATCCTAGTGCAACTGTGAATGGACTTATTTTGACGGTTAGTGATTGGCTAAAATCTAAAAGTTTGCGTCGGCGCGTTAAGGGTTGCGGTTGACAGTTAATAAATATAAATATTTGTTTTTGATTTCTAATTTTATTATTCAAAATAAAAAATCCCATAATCTTTTTAATGCTAAATAACTTGTGTTTTAAAATTTAGCAATTGCAAAACGGTAGATCTTATTAAGTTTGAAATTAATGTGCCAGAATCATACAAGGCTGAGGTATGAATGTGTTTTATTAAAACTAATTTTGATCTTATTAAACTGATCTATTTTTTTTAGTTATTAAGATTAGTTCCCCAAGTCCTTACAAGAGTTATTAAATATGATGACCCAAAAACCAAAATGACCATACATACAACAGAAAAGGCGTTTAACTGCTAGTGACATTCCAGCCCCTCAGAAGAAAGCTGTTCCACCTTCCTTAACATTATGTGTAGATCACAATATAAGTTTAGGTAAAACATCATTAAATTGTTTATATATATTATATATTGATAAATAAATAGATATTGATATGTTTTATTGTTTATATTTAAAATAAAAATAGCAACCCTTATTTTCCAGAGAATAACAGGAATACACTTATTTTATTATTTTAATGGGAAATAAAGCCACAATTTAATGAAAAAATGAATTTATTGGCGTTTCAACGTCCACATCGGACGTCGTTTTCAAAATGACAATATTAATTAATAATACCTCAATAAATTTATTTTTGTAGTTAAATTGTGGCATTATTTCCCATTAAAATAATAAATTATATAAATGCACAACAAATAGCTTCCGAAATATAACACTTTTATTTGTAATATAGAAAGTGTACCTTAATACAAAAAATAATAGTACAATAGCGTACTCAAAAGATTCTACTATCTGAGATGCTATATTTTATAGGAACTCATAAGAGCTATTTCGCTAAGAGATTTTTAAAAATATATGTTAAATAAGAACTGGTTACATAAGTGCTGTGGCAATACATTAAAGTAACTATTAATTAAATATAAGAATTGATTATAACCTCGACAGATTTGTTTAGAAGATTTCAACGCGATTTGTTTTTTCCAGATTTAGGTATACAGTTTTCCTATTAATAATACAATAAAAAGTGTAATAGATGGAGATAATCTATTTTATTTGAAC